AACAGCTACGGTACATGCCTGCGTGCTGTTCTGTAAGGCTCCTGTTCTGATGCGCTTTTCACATCGTACTTGAATGAAGTGTTCTGCGCATGCGTTATTGAGATAATATTATTCATTGGATTTGTGAGCTTTTAAGCTTCTACATTACCGTCTGTAAGAAGAATGGCCTTAGCCTAGTTTAATTTTGAAATTATCCTGTCGTAAAATTTACGGTGCAATGTTATTGAACCTGTGAAAGAGGTTTTGAACTAAACTTATTGTCAGCGTTTTTATACAGTTCACACCAGAACGAAACAAAAGCAAAATGCAGGCTGATAAATAATTACCTGTATATATATATATATATATAAAGTTATGGTAATAATTCAAAAAATAAATTAAAAATAATTTAATTGCGATCAAAATCACGAGCCAGATGTAATCAACTTATTACATAAAATAGCCAATGTTGTTGTAAAGTTACCTTTCACCTGTCTCTTTAGCAACAAAAACTGTGATTTATTCTTCTTTTAATGCTGTAATCCACTCAAAAACCATACATTTCTTCGTATGTGAAAAGAATCTATACTTAAAGCTATCAAAATTAAATATAAGAAGCAACAGTTTAATACAACAGAATTTTAACACACCATGACATGCTATTCTGAGAAACACTGTCCACAGATGGCGGTATGAAATCAATATTCATTGGGACAAATCAAAGCCATTATAACCAAATAAGAACACTTCAAAAAATACACTAACCCATTTTTCCATTCTAGATTGCTTATCTGTTTGATGTTAAGCACAAAGCTGGTATTGAAACCCAAATTTTAGCGCTATAATCCGTTGAGCCACTGACCGGAGGCTCTGTTCTAGACTATCAATATATTACTAACACGTAAGGTAGAAAACTGTGTCTAAACACGATTTTTAATAACAATTAGTCCTAGCGTTAGTTTCTCACCAAATTTTTACAGCGCTACTCCTTCATCGTTTTATTATAGAACTAGAAGAGCTTACTGATGATAAATGATGATGCACATTTTTTTTATTTAACAGGCAGACAACAATATAAAATGCTATAGCAAATTGAATATTAAAAGCACATAAAAATGTGACCACATTTCAATATTTAAAAAAAGATTCTTTATTCTATAATAATAAAACACGAAATATGTTAAATTCACTGTGCCGTTTCTCCTACTCCACCCAATATCAATGTTGTGCAAAAGACAGTTTGTTTGTAGTAATGCACAAAGCTACACAATGGGCTATCTGTGTTTTGCCCACCATGAGTATCGAAACTCAGTTTCTAGCGTTTGTAAGTCCGCAGACATACCGCTGTGCTCCTGGGGGGCTGCAAAAGACAGAATGAGGTTTTTCATTTAATGTTTAAATCGCGAAGTAACAAAATTTTCGACAAAATCTCTGTTAAGACCAAATAATACGTGATACAAATTCGCTCAGTAATCAAATTATTATAGTGTCGTAAGTCGTTTTTCTATACAGATTAATATGTGACACACAACACTTTTGGTAACATTGAATTTTGTGTTTTGGAAAAACGGATTGACGTGACACATTAATAACGTACAGATATTTATTATTAAGGTTTTATTGTGTGTGTGTGATGTAACGGTACGTATACAGTGTAAACTAGCATGTGCAAAAGAAAAACAAATTTATCGAACGTCATTTTAAAACGATCATTCTCTTTCTTTTTCACTATTTACACAACCGAACAAAAGAGTAACTTTCATGGAAAACCAAATTCAAATAAGGTTAACCACGACAGTAAAAGTAGTTTTTATCCTATAACTTTTCTGAAACTTTTCTGGATGCCTGTGCGTGTTTTATGTTTGTTGTCCGCATGCGCACTTATATAGATGATGTCACGAAATAAGATGAGACGTGTTGCATTTTACCTTTTCCTGCCTTCTACTTTTTATCACATGGAAATCTATGAGCACACAAAGCGTATTTGTGCAGACTGGTGGACGCGAGAGTTTTCTCGTACAAACACATTTTAACCCGTATGTATAGGTCAAGTATAAGTGTAACCGGTAACGAACGGCCTTCCTTGATGACGACACGAGCTGAATACAAGAACAGCGAGGGATCTTACAGCAGGAAATGGCAGCACTGATAACCTTATAGGGAATTCAACGAACACGATATAAAAACAATTGTTGAAAGTGGTTTAAATAGAAGTTTCAGGCGGCAATGTATTTAGACAAATTTGATTTTCTGAACTCGTAAGGCTTGTTTAAAGAAATTTTATCAAACCTTTGTTTTGTTTGTAATCAAACACAAAGCTACACATTGGGCTATCTGTGTTCTCCTCACCGCGGGTATCGAAACCCGGTTTCTAGCGTTGTAAGTCCGCGGACATACCGCTGTGCCACTAAGCATACCGGTTCTGTTTAGTTAAATTTCATCATTTTGCTTTGTCACATTTTTTATTGCCGCATCATCAACTCATTCAAAATTTACGTTTATCAAGTATCTTTGAAAACTGAAACATCGAAAAATATGATACATATAAATTGTTTTCAAACAGGACAGTATCTACGGAGTATATATAAATTGTTTTCAAACACGGACAGTACGTATGGAGTATATATAAATTGTTGTTAAACACGGACAGTATCTACGGAGTATATATAAATTGTTTTCAAACACGGACAGTACGTACGGAGTATATATAAATTGTTGTTAAACACGGACAGTATCTACGGAGTATATATAAATTGTTTTCAAACACGGACAGTACGTATGGAGTATATATAAATTGTTGTTAAACACGGACAGTATCTACGGAGTATATATAAATTGTTTTCAAACACGGACAGTACGTATGGAGTATATATAAATTGTTGTTAAACACGGACA